ACCTAAAATCCGCGGTCAACAATGCAAAAGAAAACAGCAGTGGCCGAATTTGAGGGCCACGCCACACGATGAGGGTAGAGTGCTTCATTTGTCACCTACACACCGCAGTTGCCTTTAACTTAGATTCGGATCCTACGTGGTTTCAACGATTGATTTAACTACTCTATAGATCACTGCTTGTGGTTACTCACATAATTTTAATGTGATTTCATTTGTCAGCTTTGCTTGACCTAATTCATCTAAAGCATTCCCCAGTCAGTAGTAGCCGACAGCACCCGATTCTGCCTCGTTGTTTCGGTGTAAACAGGTCATTGCAGCCCAACGAACAAACACATTTTGGTCGGCTTCCACCATATTTGGTTCCATCCGCACACCACGCGCTCGATGCATACCTGATGGAATAATACCGAGAGTTCAAAGTAGTTTCGTAGCCAACTCGGACATCTACTGTTGTTTCACGTTAATAACGTCTAGTATAACAGTGGTCTCGGATTGGCACAAATTAGGAAAAGTTGCAGTACAGCTTGCACCAGTACGGAGCCATCTTATTTGTTTGACCTACGAGTATCCTCGTTGTGATGAGAGTGTCCAATCAGCCTCATCAGATGAATCATTGGGCGAGCCAAACGACAATAAGACTCGGACATGACAGATCCAATTATTGGACGCTGCTTGGTCGGTGTTCGTCTTCGTTGTGATGAGTCCCTTGTGGTTGGTTAACCGCATCAAGTGAGGAACCTCATCAACCTATAGAGTTCGTTGTGTATGGAAGTGCACGAATAATTTATATAGTGAGGAGTTCTGCGAGCCCAACATGCTGGGTTTTTCACTTATTTGACTGCATAAATAGACGCTCGTCCCTGAGTGACTGCGATATCCACCAACTTATGCTATTCTACCCTCTAACACCGCATTCATCCGTCCGTTGGACCGGATTGGCCTTCACTGACCAGTTCCTATTTCTGACCTTCGTAGCAACATCCTTCAGTCAGATACCTGATTTCGGTCACCACTTGTAGGTTTTCCTTCAGCTGCTCCCAAACATATTGGTGTTGGTTGAGATTGGTTTTATCGTAGCCGTTTGATCACTGAGTGACCCATCTACTCTTACCGCATGACTATATTTTATTACGTTGCCAAGAGACCGATACGCATGAGAGAGTTGTCCTGTTCTCCGGACTGTGCATTTCTGTTGCGGACGTTTCCCTACTAAGCTAGATAACATCCTCAGTGCGGCTGTTAAGTCCTGATTCACGGAGTCTCGCAAGCCACTGCCAGATCTGAATGCCTATCTATTGTTTCCTGCTTCGAATGTTAGCCTTCGATTGGCTCACATGAATCAGTCGAGTGCTTACGTCTTCTCCTTTTCGATCTGGTGCCTATAGCTGGATTAACCTGCAGAGCTTCGTAGACACCCTCCAGCATCAGATAATGGTTGACTGAGTTCCGGCCCGAATGCCAAACCTCTATGAACTCACGAACCCTACGGTTTTTTGTTCTTCCAAGTATCTCAACGTTCTCCAGATCGAAATGATGACTGTGGGCATCCGTATGTACTGACATTATGGATTTCCCATCGTGGCAGCGGATGACCAGGCCATGTTCATACAGTTTTGTGCCCAGTTTTTCTCCAATGTGGCCTACATAGTACTTATCACAATTCATGCAGGAAATTTTGTAAATCACATCCGGTGTTTCTTCCTTACTCAGCTTGTGTTTTATTTTGACAAGTTTACTTCATATAGTTTCCGTTGCTTCATGTGCAACATCTATCGCATGAGGCTTTGGAAGCTTTGCTGCCACTACCTTTCGGAATCGGTCTTACCACCAATCATCTCCATTCTATCGGAAACGAACTTTAAACATCGACTTGTTGAACGGGTCAGTTACATCAGGCGAGTTTATAGCCGACAAGGATTTGAGAGCAAGAGAGGAGAACCCAGAAAGGCTGCCCTTCGCATTGTTGCAAATGCCTCCCTGCTTTTATACCTTTCATAGTCGTCGACCGAGCCAGAGATAAAGAATTTGTCCCACAGCCTGCGCCGCCGCCGAGCCAGTTTACCATATTCCTTGTCAAACCAATGTGTCTTGACCGGTCCAATTTTCTGGCACTTTGGAAACACAGACCAGCTACACAATGAGTGTACTTCATTCCTTATGGCTAACTAGCAAGCTTCTACAGATGCGGATTCCGGCGTAGACCAATCCACTTGGCTGGCGGCCCGAGTCATTCCATTAAAATCCCTTTTCTGGTAATTGTAAGCTGGTTACAATGCGTGAGATTGTTGCACCGGTAGCTCGACATTGGCATTAAGAACTGAGTGATTGCTTGCCGCCAGAGGCCCCCAGGTTACGAATATCATACATATGTTGTTCACTTTTGTTAACATCAAGTCTAAGCAAGTTGGAGTTTAGCGCGGTGAAATGCGTGTCGGTCGATAGATATGTTGTGTCCCTAGTTTTAACTACCATTTCGACTAACATTACTTCGACATCTCAATATCCGGTGTTAACTTGAACTTCAGGCTATCGTATTCGAGGACATTTGCAATCACATATAGGTAGAAAGTGGGGGCGACTCATGCAGTCTTGAAGATGCGGCAGTCAATCCAAACAGTGGCTTAGGGGACTGCAATAAACTGCACCCACGAGTAATTCTCCGCGCCTGAGGTGGATCTAACACCACAACTGCTGACTTTCCTTCGATGGGCGCTCACAAATCTCGCACACGAAGATCAGATATAGAGAATGGCACCACTGCTGGGGTTTGATAGCCCATCACTGCAGAAGCACGAGTAGCCACTAAGCTCAATTTCCTCATCGTTCAACCGCGTCTCTGCGCGTTCCTCTGCATCTGTCCGCTCGAAAGCAACGAACCGGCACAGCTCATCGCGCTTGCTTATGACACTGCAGATGTTAACAAAGACTGTATGCAGGCCATGGTAAGAACTACCTGGCGTGTCTAAAAGGTGAGTGACCGATTTATCCGAATTCGCGTTCACGATGTAACCACTCGAAAATGCGCAATACATATGTTTGTCGCTCTAGCTCGACATTGGCACACTTAAGGACCCTCTCGGTCAGCTGGATCTCTATCCGGACGAATGTACACCCTTTTAGCCTACTTAGTCCAGACAGGTCTAGCTACGGTCTGGCGTCATCGGAAAAAGTTACCCGCATAGATCTGTTCTTCTCAGCAGTTCTTTTTTCGAGGCGGATGGCTTGCCTAAATTTCACTCCGTCCTCATCCACATCATAAAACCTACCAATCGAACTTTGTAAAATCTCGACGTTGTGATCATAGCATGCCTGAGGACTTGGATCGTTTGACTCACGTGAGTGCAAAAGCATCAGATTTGATTGCCTATTATCATTTGAGACGGTTCCTGTGGGAGAAGGGTATCCTCAGGCTCCGCTTGACCTAGTTTGTTGTTGATCAGCATCGGGAAGCTTCTCTTTATTTCATGGCTTCTCAATCATCGTCTAGGTCTTCAGAGCGCAAAGTCCGTGGATCAGTTAGTGTGCCTCTAAAATTATTAGGATGGTAAGGTAAGGAATTGTCTGAGGAAAGAGAATGGAGAGTATGGCTCGGTTGAATTTCGGACAGAATCTGGGCCAGTTTGCTTGACCATATGTCTAAAACTGCTCACAGCTAAACACTTTTTGTTGCTATCTGCATCGGTGGACTGCCTTCGACTGCGACAATCGTTGCAACCAACTTGGATCAAATCATGTTGTATGGGGCGCAAAAGACCATAGGAATCAGCAGGTAATCTAACACACGAAATATGAAATCTTGCACAACAATCAAAGCACGTAGGTGCATTTGTCTTGTTTCCGACAATTTTGGAAAAATGGCATAAAATGACCTAAAATGGTAGGGCTGAATTTGCAAGGTGGAACGCCTCCAAGTCCATGCAAAGATACCACCTAGAATATGATCCAGAAATTGTAGAGCCTGAAATGAAACCGAATGAAACCAAAATTTCCACAAAACAACTTTAGTGTACCGATAAATCCACCAAGAGAATATCCTGAAAATGCAACCACAAGATAAGCAACTGGGCGCCGGTAATCAAACTTTTTCTAAACGCTTTGTATCAAGGAGAAACACAAAAGACGACCGTAAATAGTGATATAGCAACAAAACTGACAGAGGACGCTCTTCGACCTGACGCAAAAGTTTTTTTATGGGCCAGTAGATGTGTGCTGAATCGTTTCGTGACATTGTGACGTGTCAGCACGGTTGGATGTCGTCCACTGTAATCTGCTCAGATCCAATAACTCTCGTAACGCATGCAGAAAGTGCATCTTTCACCCTTCTTTCGGTGGATAAGATCAGATTTGATTCAATTTATTCTCTGCGCCCCAAACACTATGTGCAGTGGACCCATCTATTTTGGCTAACTTCCCCGTACCAACGAAATTAGCGACAATGGTGGAAATGAGAACGGAAGTCTAATACATAAGCTCAATTGGAAGGGCATCACGAATCGCTAGCATTGTTGGTTAGAAAAATCAACCTGGAAGCAGCATACAGGAGCGCAATAACTAGTTTGAACCGTTCGCTAACTCTGCTGACAACATGATTCTCATCTATCGTTCCGCCGTTTTGAACCACTGACTTGCTTTTCTACCCCATTCTGTCTTCATAATGTTTATAAATCTCATTTTAGTTCTGTCCTGCTAGCTCACTCTACTTATTCAAAATTTCTTACAAATTTCATCTTTATTTTTCTCATCCTCAAGACTGTGCAATGCGGAAGGCCGGTTGTCTTCTCGTTGCTCTTCGCTCTTCGAAAGCGGTTATCTGCCTGTCCACCTGTTTCATAGTCCCTATCTTAGATCCACTTCCACTACTCATTTTTATCCATTCGTTGCCCGCTGCTGTCTACGAACGCAGTGGAGAATAGTTCAGTGGGCTGTCGGTAGCTCTCGTTTCTTTCCTGACTGGTGAATGCCTAACTTGCTTTCTCTTCTCTGTTCCTCCCATCTCTCAGTTCTCTGATGCGTCGTGGCGTTCCCGGCGTGCCGAGAGCGTCTTGAAACTCTTGAAGGGGGCTCTCATGGAGTGGAGCACTTGGCGTGGACCGGTGGTGCACTCCATCCAATTTTTGGCTCCACCCGGCCTTCCGGATAAGGAGATGGAGAGCTACAGCCACCTAATCACCAACTCTTTTCTGCAACCGGTTCCAGTGTTCGTCCCTAATTGAATTAATTGTGACCTCCATTATGGACCATTCGCTCAATTTTTTATACTTTGTGATCCACTACACCCAACATTTCGTTGTGCACCTTTATTTCTGTTCCATCCTCATCCTATGTGATAGTTACGTAGATCATTTTACAGTAAGCCATCTTTTCAATCGATCTCAATTTACTTTTAAGCCCCTTCGCTGCACTGACGGTTGGTACCCGTTGAAACCGATAACGTTTGACCTCACCGGTCATCGGTTAGCATTTCCACTTATTTCTCTCATCCAAAGTTGTACGCGACTTCGATGCGACAGTTCCCGAAAGATTCACTCATCTTCCACTGCTTCGCAGCCCATTTTTGCTGCCAGTGGTGTCAAGTAACCCTCCGAGAATCAAAACTTAGTTCAGACAACGATCACAAATCAGTCACAATTCGAGCTTAAAGTCATACTATACAAAATATTGAAACGACATTCATTTGCGGTCGTTTGCCACCGGCCATTTCTCATTTTCACGTCTTATGTCGTCTTCCTATGTACATTGGCCGCACACGCTAGTCATCCGTGGTGCCCTGCCCAACCCACTTCTGCTCTCTCTCTCTCTCCTTGGGACCACATTGAACTTTGAGCATCTTATTCCAATCCAATTCTCTTTTGTTCTTCGCAATTATGGTCAATTCGCTTTGGTGGTGCTTGGTTCTATTGCTGTTCCATTTGCTCAGTGGACCGGCCCTCGTTACCTCCCGTGCAATCATTTTGAATTTGTTGGCGCGCACGCGTTCGTTCGCTTGCTGCTGTTCGGATCGCTCCGACTCTCTTTTTTCTGTAATTTGCCTGCGCTTCGTTCACCCAGACAGCCAATTTTGCCTGGTATCTCGACCTCGTGCAATCATGATCAGCTCACGTACGTGGTGATTGAATGAGCTCTTGTCTGTCTCTGAGGCGCAGGTCATCACCATCATCGATAGTAGTCAACAGCCATTTGCGCTGATTCTTAGTTGCCTTACAACAATGACCTAAGGGACGATAAATAATAATTGGGAGAGGAGGACCTCTCATAAAACACAGAGGCCCTAACACACATTCAGGGCCAGGGTACCTACCTCTTGTCAGCAACATACCGCCACTAGCAGGTGGCTATGGTGCAAAGATAAGGTACATCAACGAGACACGCCCTTTGCGGCTTTCACTGACCCGCGTCATAATTAATCATTATCCTACATATATCTTAGCATTAGACACACTTTAACCAGATAGTCCGATTAAGAGACGGCAATATGCGCACCACTTGTGCCGGCTGCGAGCCATGTCCTTTAAAGTCTCCATACAGGCTCAATGAGAGTTGCGCGGACTCTGGTATAAGAGATGAAACGGACCAACAGCACCCTGCTTAGTCATCATTGACTCCATCTATTCCTTGTTAAGTCAGCCTTCTTTCACTACCCGACGTCCTGAAACCAAAACAAGACTGCTCAGTAGCTAGTGAATGGGTATAAGTAGCATATGTCAAACTCAGCGCTCCTTATACATTAATTTTTGTCCCAAATAATTAATTTCTGATTTCCGCTTAACATTCGCCTGCGCACATCTTTGCGGACATTCTGTTGTCATCCGGCAATGACTGTGCTTCGCAGGCAACGGTGATCACAGGGTTGAAGGCGTCTCAGATCGAAGGGGCCTAGTCTCACTTCCATATATATATATATATATATATATATATATATATATATATATATATATATATATATATAATGGCGAGAGAGCCTATGGTTCGCTGAAGTTGGCAGTGGCTAGATCCTGACAGGTGGTCTACCCACTGCTGCCACTGTTGTGTCATGGGCTCATGTCCTTTACGCCTCGTGGCGACCGCTCGGTGGGAATTGGGTTACGCCCTTCTCCCTGCTACGATCCAGGACATCAATCCGCATGAGTCAGTGAACTGACCATGTGCTAGACCGGCTGCCTTTCGGTGTACATTTAATCGAAGGCTTTGACTGAGGACCAGAGTCGTTCTGTCACATGTGGGCGCCCTGTCATTAGCAGTCTAAACCCCATCCTTCCCAGAGATTAGAAAGTGGTCGATGGCCCTCTTTCCGTGAAACCTAGCCATGGGAGACAACAGGTCTACGGGTTAGAAGCTCACCGCTCGATTGGCTTAGAGTACGAGCGCCAAGCATTATCTCTGACGATGGGAGGGCATCTACCGGTGCTCAAAGGTTTGCTACTGCCCACCTCAAGCCAGACAGCCCCTTATCAAATTGGTGCAAACTTCCCTGCGTTTGGACGTGGTCGCAGGTGCCTATCCTACTACGGTCGCAAAACATATATGAATTGTTCCAGATCTCCGAAGTCTGCGTGTGACGCACCTCAAACAGATCCCAATCTGTCTCTGAAATCACATTTCCGAGCTGGATCTGCTCCCCACTTCCTTGTGGGTCCGGCTATTGAGCCAAAGGCTCTGGGCGGAGTACCTTAAGCAAACCTCCAAATCCCACACTGTCTTGTGGGTCAGGCTATTGATCCAAAGACTCCAGATGAAGTCCTTCAAGCAAACCGAAGCACAACCGCCACCTCGCGTGCGATTGCCCACCAATGCAATCGCATGCCTGCGCGAAAGCGCTCAACATCAGGTGCTGGAAACTGCGCACACTATTGGACCGGAACTCGAATGAACGCTCCGAGCGACGCACTGCACTGGTCGCGATGGAACTCGTGCGCCACAACATCGATATTGCGGCGCTCATTGAGACCTCACTCGCTGAGTAAAGTAAGTTGCATGAAGCAGGTGCTGGCTACACAGTCTACTGGATGGGAAACACCATCTCAGCACCACGTGATCATGGGGTCGGATTTGCAATATCCGATCGCCTCCACGGCCAGCTGGTGGGTGAACGAACAGACATCACAACGCGGCTGATGACTGTTCGCCTACAACTCGGAAGATGCAAGTTTGCCTCTCTTATGAGCACGTACGGTCCGACCATGTGTTATGCTGATGACGCGCGCCAAATTCTACATTCACTTCTCCTCCGTGACGCAGTCTGTGCCAATAAGCGACCGAGTATTTCTGCTGGGTGATTTCAACGTGCGCGTTGAGCGTGATGCATCAGCGTGGACAGATGTTATCGGTCCGCATGTCATTGGTTCAGCGGATGCAAACGTTGACGGACTGCTCTCACTGTGTGCCACTCAGGGCCTGACGATCACAAACACTCGTTTTGCACTGCTTGCGTGATATAGCAATTTGGACGCACCCACGGCGTGGTCACGCTCACCTGCTTGACTATGTCATCGTACGTCAGCGTGATATGCGTGAAGTGCGCATAACACGTGTAGTGCGTGGAGCTGAATGTGGCACTGATCACATATTGGGGCGGACCAAATTGTACATATAGTTTCGTAGACATGTGTATTACACTCCCGCAGTGAATCGGCGGATATATAACATTCTCTCCCTCGGTACTGTGGCGAAACGTATTGAGCTGGAGTGGGTGATGACTGCACGCCTGTGTGATGTGGAATGCATAATTCCAATGGGCGACCTGTTGCACCACATTCGCGACCAAGTGACAGCTGGTGCTCCTAGGAACAATGCGACGATTGGCGCATTGGTGTCGGTGAAGAATGCGGCATTTGCTGCACATGTGGCAGACTCCAGTGACTTGGGGAAGAAAAGTTTGGGCCAATTCGATGATGACTGACCCGAGAGCTCCGTCGCATAAAAATTGCATAGTGGACGAAGAAGGCGAAACAGATGGAATGCTATGCCGAACGCCGCGAACGCAAGTAATCCTTTAACTCCTTGTAGGCAGTGTATGGACAGAGGTTGGAACCGCTGAGGACGCTAATGGATGGTACTTCAGGCGCTACCTGCACACAGATTGCAGACAATGCAGATCTGGCGAAATAACTTTGACTGTCTCTTGAACAACCGTTCAGAGATTGACTGGCCTACTTTGGACGGCTTTAGGCGGCATCATGCGAAGATGAGTCTGGCGGACACGCCGACACTGGATGGAAAGCAGAGAGCATTTGCTCGGCTTCGAAACGGCAAGTGTTCCGGTACCGACGAGATCCCGCCAGAAATATTGAAAGACGGCGGACCCGCGTTGGTAACTGTGTTGCATCACTTGGTACAACTCATGTGGATGGAGGATGAAGTGTCTCCTGAGTTGTAGGATGCCTTTGCGCTACCACTATGCAAGGGTAAAGGGAGCAAGCAATGTTGCACCAATTATCGTGGCATCAACTTGCTGAATTGTGTGGGCAAGGTGATTGCCCGAATCCTGCTCAGCCACATCGTCAGTCAAGTTGTGGAACTGAACGTGGCGGAAGAGCAATGTGGATTCCGTTCGGGTCGCAGCACCATAGATCTGGTGTTTGCGGCTGGTCAGTTGCAGAAGAAGTGTAGAGAACGACATCAGCCGTTGTACTCACTATGTGTTGATTTCACCAAGGCATTTGATACGGTGAACCACGAGTCATTGTGACTGGTGTTGGGTAAGTCTGGTTGTCCGAGTAAATTTGTAAATTTAATTGAATGCCTGCACAGTGTTATGCAGCCGTGGGTGCAGCTGAGTGGAGAGACCTCGGATGAATTTATAGTTGTCTCTGGTGTGAAACTTATCTGTCTTGGCTCCTGACCTCTTTAGTGTTTATCTTCATGCCGTGATGTGCTTTTGATGCGACTTGTGTTTACGTTGTTTATGTGGAGCACCGTATTGATGGTTGGTTCCTGAACATCCGTCGTTCCTGTGCGAGAACCCTAGTCTGTGGGACAACTATTCGTATGTTGCTGTTTGCTGACGACTGTGCGTTGTTTGGACACAGCGCGGATGAGTTGCAACACGTGAATAGTGCTCTGGCTTCGACAGCGGCCAAATTCGGGCTCACTATCAACACAAGCAAAACTGTCTGTATCTTTCAGCCTTCACCTGAGGTGTAATCTTCAATATTGCCGCGAAGCAGCATTGGTGCTGAAGTATTGGAAACCACCTCCCGCTTCAGCTACCTTGGGAGTGTGATGTCGACTGATCAGCAGCTAACTAGTGAGCTTCCTATCCGCGCCTCGAAGGTAGTGGCGGCATTCGGGAAGCTAGAATACCAAGTGTGGAACAACCATCAGCTTACCATCGGCGCGAAGCAGATGATGTACAAATTCATGATACTGTGCGTTCTTCTAAACAGCAGCGAAACGTGGACGATGTACCGGCGGTATATGCGATATCTCGAGCGTTTCCACCAAAGTGTATCGCCGATGTGAAATGTATGCAGTGGACTGCATACTTTTGCTGAGACTCCTTAGGTAGCTCGGTCATTTGTGGCGTATGGATTCGAGAAGGATACCGAAGCAGCTGAGTGTTGGGGAAGCGGCATGTAGGGAAACCGAAGCTTCGATTCCAGAACATGATCAAACTGAGCCTCTCACGTTCTACTCTTGATTGCAGGTCCTGGAAATCAAAGGCGGCTGATCGGCGTGCATGGCGCGATTTGATCACGAAGACAGTCGCCGAGGTGCAGAAGAAAGCCCTCTTGCATGCAGAGAAGAAGCGGCGATTACGAAAGCGACAGGCGCCGATGGGTTTTACTCCATCGACATCGAGCGCATGGTGCTGTAGCACATGCGGTCGCGAGTGCCTGATTCAGGCAGGCCTAGTGAGCCAGGAGCGTGGCCACTCGGGTCCAACACCGAAACGACGAAGTGCCCTGTAGAGAACGTAGGTAGAACGGGTGCAGCGTTTGTAGTTACGATGCATTCGATTTATCAACCGCTTGCTTTCATGCTGGGTGTCTATTTCAGATGGTGGGTTTTCTATATTGTTTCCTTAATGTCTACCTGAAATATTTTCTGTTAACTTACACACGTCGCTCAAGTTAACTGTAGTTAACTTTTATATC